AGTTGTGATGAAATCTTCATAAAAATCGCTATACTACAGGGTTCAACAAGCTTGTGTGTGTGTGCGTGCACACACACATGCATGTGCATGTGCGTGCTGGTTTATGGGCTCAAAAACATGTGCACATGAGCCAGTCTAGGGGCTTTTTTTGTGCTGAGCGTAGGCTCTGTCTCTGGAGTCTTTTTGCTCACAGCTCCATTTCCAGCCTTTTTTTTTTCTTTTCTTTTTTTGTTGTTGTCATGGGGCCTGAACTCTGGGCCTGGGCTCTGTCCCTCAGCTCTTCAGTTCAAGGCAAGCACTCTACCTCTAGAGCCACAGTGCTACTTGCAGCTTTTTCTGCTTATGTGATGCTGAGGAATCAAACCCAGGGCCTCATGCATGCAAGGCAAGTACTCTACCACTGAGCCACATTCCCAGCCCTCCAGCTTTTTGGTGATTATAACTGGAGATAAGAGTCTCATAGACTTTTCTGCCCTATTGTCCTTGTTCTGTGATTCTCAGATCTCAGCCTCCTGATACCAAGGATTATAAGCATAAGCTACTTGTGCCTGGCTTCTGACTGAGAAGGGTAGTATACCTGGAAAGAGTATAGACACTCTATATTTCTTTCTCACATGCATCCTTTATAATAAACTGGTAATTACAAGTGTTTTCTTGAGTTCTGTGAGCCATTCTAGGAAATGATTGAGCCTGACCTGCAGCTGGTTGGTCAAATAGTATCTGAAGCAAGAACGGTCTTGTAAGACTGAACCTTAACCTGTGGCCTTTGACCCTAATTCCAGAATTGAATTGAATTATACAACACTTAGGTGATATCAGAGAATTGGTGTATGAGGGGGAAATCCTACATACCTGGTATCAGAAGTGAAGTGTTCTATGTTCAGAGTTGAAGGTATTTATTATCAGATAAAACATTTGGGTTTTCCTATTAAATTTCTCTTCCCTCAATCTTTGGCAGAAACTTCTTGCTTTCTGTTTCTATTGGTTGAATAGAAATGAATGTAATATCAATCCTGTACCTGGCTTGTTTGGTTAACAAAATATTTTTAAGGTTCTTCTATGTTGCACATAACAATTTCCTTCTTTCTAATAAGTGTGTGTATATACCAACCACATTTTTTTTACTCATTCATCCGTGAATAGACATTTAGGCTATTTACATATTTTGGCTATTGTGGATAGTCCTGCAGCAAACATGGGGATACATATATCTCCTTAATATTTGAATTTCAGTTCTTTTGGATTAATACCTAGAAGTGAGATTGCTGATATTATGTACACTCTGTATAGAAATGGAAAAAGTAGTGAGCTGGGAGTGTGGCTCAAGACTCTACATTTTATATTTATTTATTTATTTATTTATTTTTGGGTCCGGTCATGGGGACTGAACTCTGGGCCTGGGCACTGTCCCTCAGCTCTTCAGCTCAAGGCTAGTGCCCTACCACTTGAGCCACAGCACCACTTCCGGCTTTTTTCTTTTTTGCTTATGTGGTGCTGAGGAATTGAACCCAGGGCCTCATGCATGCAAGGCAAGTGCTCTACCACTGAGCCACCTTCCCAGCCCTCTACATTTTATATTTAAAGTTAGTTGATATTCTGGAAGGGGCAAAAATTCTAGGAACAGTAAAAAGGATCAATGGTTGCAGGAGATCAGGGCAAGGAGGAAGGATGAGTAGGTGAAGTACAACTAATTTTTTTTTAGAGTGGTGAAATTATTCTGTATGATACTGCAATGGTAGATACATGGCATTGTGCATTTGTCAAGGTCCATAGACCTGAATACAAACAAAGAATGAGCCTTAATATAAACCGAGGAGTTCAGTTAATTTTTTATTTCTTCAAACTAAAGATTCCAGGCATCGGTCATATTGTAGAGTGAAGTATCAAATGATGTGATAGAAACAAGAATGTAGGTAATTTTAGATTGGGCACTTAAGACAGACCTCTCTGAGGTGCTAACATTCCTAGCAGAGGGAGCAGGTAGCACAGTCCTTAGGACCCAAATGATTTTAATGTTTTTGGAAAATAGAAAACTAGAGTTGGAGTGGGTGAATGGGAAAATACGGTGAAGTGGGTTCAGAGCATCAGTCATGGACAGAATAGAATGAAGCATCTATAAATGGATGGTAAGGAGTTTGGATGATTTTTAAAGTGAGATAGAAGGTTTGTGGGTATTTTAAGCAGAGTAGAACATGATCTAGCTTATTTTTGAAGCTTTTGTGGGGGGCTGGGGCTTGAACTTTGAATTCAACATAAACTTGGCCACCTCTTTTTTTTTTTTAAATTGTGAAAATACTATACACAGGGGTTACAATTACATGGGCAAGGTAATGAGTACATTTCTTTCTTTCTTTTTTTTTTTGTCAGTCATGGGCCTGAACTCTGGGCCTGGGCACTGTCCCTCAGCTCTTCAGCTCAAGGCTAGCGCTCGACCACTTGAGCTATAGCACCACTTCCGACTTTTTCTGCTTATGTGGTGCTGAGGAATTGAACCCAGGGCTTCATGCATGCAAGGCAAGCACTGTACCACTGAGCCACCTTCCCAGCCCCATGAGTACATTTCTTATCAAGCATTGTTGCCTCCTCCTTTGTTTCTCCTTCCCATCCCCCCCCCCCCCACGCCTTCCAAACTTGGCCACTTCTTGAGCCATGACTACACTTTGAACAATTTACTGGTTAACTAGAGATAAGATTTTCTCAGATTTGTTTGCTTGGGCTGACTCTGAACAATGATCCTCAGATCTCAGCTTTCTGAGTAGCTAACATTGTAAGCATGAGCCACACCAGTGCATAGCTATGTTTTGTTTATTTAAAATACTGCCATGGGCTGGGCATATGGCTTAGCCTCATGCTTGCCTAGCATGCATGAAGCCCTGGGTTTGATTCCTCAGTGCCAAAGAAACAGAAAAAGCCAGAAGTGGCACTGTGGCTCAAGTGCTAGAATGCTAGCCTTGAGTAAAAAAGAAACTCAGGGACAGTGCCCAAGCCCTGAGTTCAAACCCCAGGACTGGAAAAAAAAAAAAAAGTAATAATACTGCCAGGACCAGAGTTTACAAGATTACACCTGTAATCCTAGCTAGTCAGAAGGCTAAGATAACAAACCAGCTTAGGCCCAGAGCTGTGGCTACTGTGCAAATGTTGTACTGTCCCTGACTCAGGGACAGCACCCAGGCCCTGAGTTCAAGCCCCAAGACTGGCCAGAAAAAAAAAAAAAAGAAAAAAAGAAAAGAAATCTATTAGTGGCGCTGTAGCTCAAGTGGTAGAGCACTCGCCTTGAGCTGAAGAGCTGAGGGACAGCGCCCAGGCCCAGAGTTCAAGACCCACGACCGACAAAAAAAAAAAAAAAAAATCTATTGTGTTTTTGGCAAAGCACCTTACAATATACCAGAGTGGTTCTCTATAATTATTGGGAAAGAAATGATTGTTATTATTATTATTAGTGTGTGCGTGCGTGAGTGTGCCTGTGTGTGGGCTGGTCCTACGACTTCAACTCTAAGCTTGTATACTGTCCCTGAGCTTTTTTTTTTTAGCACTCTACCACTTGAGCCTTAGCCACATCCAGCCTTTTCTGAATAGTTTATTGGAGATAAGAGTCTCATGGACTTTCCTGCCCAGGCTGGCTTGGAACTGTGGTCCTCAGATCTCAGCCTCTGGAGTAGCTAGGATTATAGATGTGAGCCGCCAAGTGCCTGACTAATGTATATATTTTCTATTCAAAATAAAAATATTCTTTTTAGTATATTTTAGGTTATAAAACATCTGAAGTAGTAACAATGTAAATAAAAGGAGGTGAAGGAAAAATGTATCACAGTACAGAAATGAGCTAGTCAGTATGGGTGAGGTCAGATTTTTAGCTTTGGGCATTTTCATGTGTAATCAAAGGGTGAAAGATGTTGGATTTTATAAAATTTATTTCAGTAGGAATTATTCCATTGTATTTTGGCAGACCTGGAAGGCATCAAGATATTTAAAGAAGTTTTAGCCAGGAGTGGTGGCTCATGCCTGTAATCCTAGCTACTCAGGAGGCTGAGATCTGAGGATTGCGGTTCAAAGCCATCCAGGTTCAAAGCCATCCCGGACAGAAAAGGCCAAGACTCTTATCTCTAGTAAGCCACTCAAAACAGGAAGTGGCGCTGTGGCTCAAGTGGTAGAGTGTTTCCCATGAGCCAAAGAGCTTAGGGACAGCACCCAGGCCCAGAGTTCAAGCCCCATGACTAAAAAAAAAAAAAAAAAAGTTGGGCACCAGTGGCTCACACCTATAATTCTAGCTACTTAGGAGGCTGAGATCTGAGAATTGTGGTTTAAAGCCAGGCTGAGCAGAAAAGTCCCTGTGAGACTCTTCTCTCTAATTAACCACTCAAAAGCCAGTCATGGCGTTGTGATTCAAAGTGACAGAGCGCTAACCTTGAGCAAAAGAGCTCAGGAACAGTGCCCAAGCCCTGAGTTCAAGTCCCACGATGACAAAAAAAAAAAGAAAAGAAAAAGTTTTAGATATGTGTGTGTGTGGATAGATAGATAGATAGATAGATAGATAGATAGATAGATAGATAGATAGATAGATAGATAGATAGATAGATAGTGTGGGTTGTGGTGCTTAAACTCTGGGCCTGGGCACTGTACCTCAGCTCAAGGCTGAAGGGTAGTACTCTACCACTTGAGCCACAGCACCACTTCCAGTTTTCTGAGTGATTTATTGGGGATAAGAGTCTCATGGACTTTCCCACCTGAGATGGCTTTGAACTGGGATTCTCAGATCTCAGCCTCCTGACTGGCTCAGATTACAGGTGTGAGCCACTGACACCTGGCAAGTTTTAAATATTTTTATTGGTTAATTGGAGTAGAGTTTCCTGGACTTTTCTTCCCTGTCTGGCTTTGAACTTAGACATCTCAGCCACCTGAGTAATAGGTTTACAACTATGAGCCACTGGTGCCTGACTTTAATTGCACATTTTTCAAGTGAAAAATTTCCATGCTGATTGTATCTCCTTTGCCATGTTCAGGTTTGTTGTCCTGTTGTCCTGTTGGTGGTATGTCTGACAGTGGATCACAGCTTGGTTCAATGGGTAGCCTGACCATGAAATCACAACTTCAGATCACTGGTAAGTCATCTTTTTTTTTTTTTTCATGCTAGGGATTGGTATATCCTGAAAAGATAAAATACTTTACTCTCCTTCTATTCTCTCTTGCCCCAAGATTAAAAAATATTTATTTATTTTTTTTGTCAGTCATGAGGCTTGAAATCTGGGCCTGGGTGCTACCCCTTAGCTCTTCAGCTCAAGGCTTGCACTCTACCACTTGAGCCACAGCGCCACTTCCAGCCTTTTCTGTTTATGTGGTGCTGAAGAATGGAACCTAGGGCCTCATGCATGCTAAAAATAATTTTTATTTATTTATTTATTTTTATTGTTGGTCATGGGGCTTGAATTCTGGGCCTGGGCACTGTCCCTTAGTTCTTCAGCTCAAGGCAAGTGCTCTGCCACTTGAGCCACAGCAGCACTTCAGTTTTCTGAGTGGTTTATCAGAGATAAGTATCTCATGGATTTTCCTGCCTAGGCTGGCTTTGAACCGTGATCTTCAGATCTCAGCCTCCTGGGTAGCTAGGATTACAGGCATGAGCCATCAGTGCCTGGCTAAAAATAATTTTAAGGGCATAAAGTGTTTGTTTATTTGTTTGTTTGCTATTATAAAGGTGATGTACAGAGGAGAGCATTAAAATCTTTAGGGGCTGTTACATCTCATGTGCCAAATTAATGTTTGCAAATGAATGAAGTGTTTTGTTTTTTGTTTTTTTGTCGGTCATGGGGCTTGAACTCTGGGTTTGGGCAGTGTCCCTCAGCTTTTCAGCTCAAGGTGCGTGCTCTACCACTTGAGCTACCGTGCCACTTCCAGTTTTCTAGTGGTTTATTTGAGATAGGAGTCTTACGGTCTTTCTTTCCTGCCGTCTTTTCCTGCCCTCCTGCCTGGGCTGGCTTTGAACCGAGATCCTCAGATCTCAGCCTCCTGCGTAGTTAGGATTATAGGTGTGAGCCACCGACTCGCCCAGCTAGAACGAAGTGTTTAGATATATAAAGATAACATTTTAGCCAAGCACAAGTGCCTCATGCTTGTAATCCTAGCTATTCATACGGTTGAGATCTGAGGATCATGATTTGAAGCCAGCTTGGGTAGGAAAGTAAGTGAGACTCTTATTTCCAATTAACCACCAGAAAGCCAGAAGTGGAGCTGTGGTTCGGGTGGTAGAGTGGTAGACTTGAGCAAAAAAACCTCAAGAAAGTGCCCAGTGTTGGCTCTGAGTTCAAGTCTTTGAACTGGCACGCGCGCGCGCACACACACACACACACACACACATACACACCACAAAAATTACCTTTTATCCAGTGCCGAGACCCTAGGTTCAACCTCAGTACCAGCACACACGCACACACAACATAAAAGCCAGAATTATACAACTAGCACCAGTTTATTTTAGTACATTTTTCATCACTCCCGAAAAGAACCTTATATCCATTATCTCATGCTCATTACCCTCAGGTACCAACAGCCTAAGCAATCACATATCTACTTTTGTCTCTCAATTTTTCTATTCTGGATCTCTCGTGAATAGAATCACGTAACTTGTGGCCTATTGTGTCTCTTATCACTTAGCAAGTTTTCAACACTCATCCCCGTAATAGCATATATCAGTACTTGGATTTTTTTTCTTTTTTCTTTTTTTTGTGTGTGTATGCTTGTACTGGTGGTAGAATACCAGTCCTGAGTGAAAAAGCTAAGGGACAGCACCTACATCCTGAGTTCAAGCCCCAGTATTGGCACCAAAGACAAAACAGAGACCAAACAAATAATAGATAATGGTTATAATTAATTCTATAATTCTGTTTTGTTTGTTTGTTTGTTTTGGGTCGGTGGGGCTTGGGTGCTGTCCCTGGGCTCTTCATCTGTCCCTTGAACTATAGCTCTACTTGCGGTTTTTCTGGTGGTTAATTGGAGATAAAAGTCTCATGGACTTTCCGGCCTGGGCTGGCTTCAAATCATAATCCTCAGATCTCAGCCTCCTGAGTAGCTAGAATTACAGGCCTGTGCCACTGGCACCGGCTTGATTCTCTTTTTTCCAGTGGCTTTCCAATACATATATAATAAGACTCAAATTCCTAGAATGATGCTGGTGGCCCATATTTACAATGCTGCCTATTTGAGGGGCTGAGAATAGGATGTGGTCTAAGGCCAGAGAAGTTTGTGAGACCTTCTTCCCAACCCATAGCTGTTAGTGATGCTTATCATTCTAGCTATGTGAAAGGCAGTGATTAGAAGGATCGTGATTCCAGGTAAGCCTGGACAGTAAAATTTGCAAAACTTTTATCTCAGTGGAAGAAGCTAGGTGTGATGGTGCATACTTAGTACAGTGGAAAGCCTAAAACTGGTGGATCACGATTAGCTGTGTACCCCAGCAGGAAGTGAGACCCTATCTTAAGAAATAACCAATACAAAAAGGACATAGTTCAGAGGTAGAGTCCCTGTCTAGCAAGCAAAGGGCTATGAATTAAAACCCTAGTACAACCAGAAAACAAAACAACAATAAAAAAAGAACCCTAGGGGCTGGGAAGATGGCTCAGTGGTAGAACACTTGCCTTGTATGCCTGAGGCCCTGGGTTCAATTCCTGAGCACCACATAAGCAAAAAGAAAAAAGCCGGAAGTGGCACTGTGGCTCAAGTGGTAGAACGCTAGCCTTGAGCTGAAGAGCTGAGGGACAGCGCCCAGGCCCAGAGTTCAAGCCCCACGACCGGACCCAAAAAAAAAAAATAAAAAAATTAAAAAAAAAAAAAATAAAAAAAAGAACTCTTGACTTACAGAGCTCATCTTTACATTTGCCGTTCTTCCTTGAGCTTGATATACTTTTCCACTGTTTGAAAACTTGGCTCTGTCCGAAATGTATCTTCACTCTAATCTTTCCACCACTGGCTCATTGTTATTTACTGGTTGCTTACAAATATTCTTTGGAGGTTTTTTTTTCTACCAAGTTATATTCTGTCATATCAGCCCATTTTTCATCATAAAGACTTTTCTCTAACTACAGTATAATTTTCCTGAGAGCTAGCTTTTATGTACTTAATTGCTCTAGTCACAGAATTTAGAGCAGTATCTGATACAGTTAAATATTAGTTGACCAAGTTTTTTTTTTTTGTACCTGTACTGTGACTTGTGCTTGGGCATTGTCTGCTAGGTTTTACCCTCAAGATTGGCATTCTACCGCTTTAGCCACAGTTCTACTTCCAGCTTTTTGGTGGTTAATTTGAGATAATAATTTCATAGATTTTCCTTCCCAGGCTGGCTTCAAACTTAGATCCTCAGATCTCAGCCTCCTGAGTAATTTGGATTATAGACCAGCATCTGGTTTGTCCATTCTCCTTTTAATATATTTGAGTTCTGGGGCATTGGATACTAATAGTCAGAGTCTTTGTTTATTTGTTTTTTTTTTTTTTTTAATTGTGAAAATACTGTACAGAGGAGTTACAATTACATGGGCAAGGTAATGAGTACATTTCTTATCAAGCATTGTTGCCTCCTTTGTTTCCCCTTCCTATCCATTCCTATCCCCCCGTCCCCCCATCTCCCCCCCCCAAAAAAAAGTTGTAAAGTTCGTTTTTTAACATAATGATTTGTACTTCTCTTTGTTGCAATGGATCTACCTGTATCCCTATTTAAACGATTTGTTTTTTCCCTTCCCTTCCACAAATTATATCAGCATCAAATACAGTGAAAGCAGGGGTTATATTGTGGGGGAGGGACATACAAAGCAACAAAGAAATCATCCTATAAATATGTTAGAAACAATCACATGAAAGAAAAAAACATGTAAATACTTATCTTGGGGTTCATTTCCCTAACATCAACTTATCTGACCTTTTCTGCTTGTCTCAGACATATACTGGTTATTGCAAATTAGTCAGAGTCTTGATGGTTGATTTGGGGGAGTCCAGTATTTTCTTAGGAAGTTGGAGGAAACCTAAAGGTAATATGAATAAAATTAGCAAATACCTTAAAACTACTTCTCTGAGTAAACATAATCTGCTTAATTTTGAATGGAATTAAGTTCATTTGAGGACTGAATTAACATCTTAAATATTAAAATTTTTTTTTCTTTCACAGTCATCTCAGCAAAACTTAAAGAAAATAAAAAGAATTGGTTTGGACCAAGTCCTTATGTAGAAGTCATAGTAGATGGACAGTCAAAGAAGACAGAAAAGTGTAACAATACAAACAGTCCCAAATGGAAGCAACCCCTTACAGTGTAAGTTTAAAAGTATTTCCTATGGTATAACATTTAGTTGGTGAATAGAAATGCAGCTTTAATACACTTAATTCTTTGTTCTTTTTTCTTTGTAATCTCATACACTTTTCCCCCTAGTCCCTAGAACTTGCTCCTGTTTTTCTAGTCCCTCTCCCTATCCGTTTACTCTTCCTTTTCCTTCTCTGTCTCCCTCTTTCCCTTTCTTCTCCCCTCTTTACTTTTTATGTTGGTATTGGAGGTTGAACTCAGGGCTTAGGTGCTGTCCCCTAAACTTTTTTCACTTAATCCAAGAGGAGTACAAGGCCAACCTAGACTACATAATGAACCCTGTCTTAAAAATATATAATAGTGGGCTGGGAAGGTGGCTCAGTGGTAGAGTGCTTGCCTTGCATGCATGAGGCCCTGGGTTCAATTCCTCAGCACCACATAAGCAGGAAAAAAAAGCCAGAAGTGGTGCTGTGGCTCAAGTAGTAGAGTGCTAGTCTTGAGCTGAAGAGCTAAGGGACAGCGCCCAGGCCCAGAAGCTCAGGCCCCATGACTGGCAAAAACAAAAAACAAAAAAACCCAAAAAATATATATATAATAGTATATACATATATATATGTATATACTATTATATATATGTATATATTATATCATATATATCATATCATATATATCATATAATGTATATATATATATGTATATATATATATATATGTATATATATACATATATATATATATAAGATAGTTCGTTAGGTGCTGATGGCTCACCCCTGTAATCCTAGCTACTCAGGAGGCTGAGATCTGAAGATTGCAGTTCAAAAACCAGCACAAAGTCTGTGAGACTTTCTTATCTCCAGTTAACCAAAAAGCAGAAAGCAGAGCTGTGACTCAAGTTGTAGAGCATCAGGCTTGATCACAAAAGCTAATGGTTAGTGTTCAGGCCCTGAGTTCAAGCCCCAGTACTAGCACACACATACACAAAATTATATGCATGCATGCGTGTGTGTGTGTGTGTGTGTGCGCGTGTGCGTGCGTGCGCGCACATGCATGCATGTGTGTGCACGTGCATGTGTGTGTGAGAGAGATATTATGGTTATCTTTCCAACTGAGTACAACTAGGTCTAGTATTTCTCATTAACTACATAATATAGGTGTACATTAATATAGGCATATACTATATTTTAATGGTTCCCTATTGATAGACTAGTTGGTTTCTATTATTTTGTAATACTCTGATAATTTGGCTAGTGAAGTATTATTCATGTATATATCTTTATATTGTGGAATTCTCTTTTTTCTTTTTGGTGGTACTGGTGTTAAAAATCAGGCCTTGTGCTTGCTTGACTATTTGAGCATGTGTTTTGTTTTAGTTATTTTTCAGGTAGGTCTTAAATTTTTTTTTTTTTTTTTTTTGTCGGTCGTGGGACTTGAACTCTGGGCCTGGGCACTGTCCCTCAGCTCTTCAGCTCAAGGCGAGCGCTCTACCACTTGAGCTACAGCACCACTTCCGGTTTTCTGGTGGTTTATTGGAGATAGGAGTCTCACGGTCTCTCCTGCCTGGGCTGGCTTTGAACCGTGATCCTCAGATCTCAGCCTCCTGAGTAGCTAGGATTACAGGCGTGAGCCACCAGCGCCCGGCTAGGTCTTAAATTTTTACATAGGGCCAGCCTCAAACAATGATTCTCTCCTATCTATATTTAGTTAGGACTGTAGGTACTTACCTCTATACCCGACTTGTTAAGATGAGCCCTCACTATTTGTCAGGGCTGGCCTGGAAATGTGATCTTGCTGATCTCTACCTCCTGAGCTGAAATTACAAGCATGAGCCACTATGCCCAACTTACGTTGATATTTTTATCTGTGGAATGAATTTGTAAAAGTAAGGTAAAGCTCAGTTTTCAGCGCTTAGTTGACAAAGTTCCAAATGTTGGTATAATAACTAGCCTGTCATTGAGTACCCACTAAAGAGAATTATAGGCTGGTTAATTAGAAATAAGCCTGTCATGGACTTTTTTTTTGCTTGGCTTGGCTTCAAACCTCCGTCCTTAGATCTAAGCCTCCTGAGTAGCTAGTATTGTAGTTGTGAGCCACTGGTGCCTGCCAGTGATGTGCTTTTATAATCCCAACTATTTAGGATTATAGTATATGTAGGGAAAAAATGTGACACACTATCTGAAAAATAACTAAAGCAAAACAAAAAAAAAAGAGCTAAAGGTAGAGCTCAAGTGATAGAGTGCTCTCCTTGAGCTGAAGAGCTGAGGAACAGTGCCCAGGCCCAAAGTTCAAGCCCCACAACTGACAAAAAAATAAAATAAAATAAATAAAATAATTTTTTTCAGCTGAATTCTAGAAAGCACCTGCCTGGCAAATGTTGAGACCAAGAACTAAAAACCCAGTATCCTACCCATAAAAGAGTTAAATATGTAAACTTTTGTGTTTTTTTTAAAGTGAAATCTGTAAAAGATCAAAGGTTTCATAACAGCCAGAAGTTTTAGCTTAATAATAGACTGAATGCTCATTTTTTTTCCCCAAATGCTGTCATTGCTTACTAACTATATATTTTGAGGCTATTAATGCTATGCAGTCCTTAGTTCAGAAGTTAAGAAAAAAGAAATTTCCATTGTAGCCCTATATGGTGGTATTATTATGGAGCCCCAGGTATTTGGTAGAATTTACAGCTCAAGTATTTCAATTTTTAGCAATTTTAACACTACTTAACATAACTATTTAGCAGTCTTTCCAGCCTGCTTTCTAGAATTCAGCTGAAAAAAATTATTTTATTTATTTTATTTTATTTTTTTGTCAGTTGTGGGGCTTGAACTTTGGGCCTGGGCACTGTTCCTCAGCTCTTCAGCTCAAGGAGAGCACTCTACCACTTGAGCCCACATTGCCACTTTTGGTTTTCTGGTGGTTTATTAGAGATAAGAATCTCACAGACTTTCCTGCCCAGGCTGGCTTTGAACCGAGATCCTCAAATCTCATCCTTTAAGTAGTTAGGATTATAGGTGTGAGCCACCAGTGCCCGGCAATATTAATTTTTAAATGGATACAAAGTTTATTATATTTATTGGTACACTGTAATATTTCACTAAACTCTCTCCTTAGCATTTTAAACATTGTAAGCATTTAAATTTTTTGCTAATGTATTTGTGTGTGAAGTTCCTCTTGTAGGTCAACCACAAGCAAAACTGACCATATAAGCATGTTGCATTCAAGTACAATTTTTGTAAGATTATACAACATAGGCCAGTATTGGTTCTACAATAAATCGTAAGGACAGTGAGAGATGTTAGACATTAAAAGTTAATTATAATTTATTTAGAATCCTATTGTGATATTTAATGAAAATAATATTTTTCTCTTTTTTTCTCTTCTAGTATTGTTACCCCTGTGAGTAAATTACGTTTTCGTGTGTGGAGTCACCAGACACTGAAATCTGATGTTTTGTTGGGAACTGCTGCACTAGATGTTTATGAAACATTAAAGTCAAACAATATGAAACGTATGTATGTTAAAACCACAGAAATTATGGTTAGCTTTTATTTTTTCTGGAAGAAATTTATATACCAAACATGCAGAATGACTCTTGTTAAAATAGATTTGCCTTTGAGATTACTTGTTTAAAGTATTCTGAATAGCCTTGGTTTCACCATTCATTTTGGATCCAGTATTTTTAGTAAACATTGTTTTTCTTTTTTCTTTCTTGGTCCTGGTAGGGGCTCAAGCTCAGCAACTTGACTTCTCACTTGACTTGTTTGCTGAAGGCTGGTACTCTATCACTTGAGAGCCACAGTTCTGCTTCTAGCTTTTTGGTGGTTAATTGGACATAAGAGTCTCATGGTCTTTTTCTGCCATAGTTGTCCTCAAATTGTGATCCTTAAATCTCAGCCTCTTGGGGCTGGGAAGATGGCTCAGTGGTAGAGTGCTTGCCTTGCATGCATTAGGCCCTGGGTTCGATTCCTCAGCACCACATAAGCAGAAAAAGCTGGAAGTGGTGCTGTGGCTCAAGTGGTAGAGCACTAGCCTTGAGCTTAAGAGCTGAGGGACAGTGCCCATGCCCAGAGTTCAGGCACCATGACTGGCAAAAAAAAAAAAAAAAAAAAAATCTCAGCCTCTTGAGTAGCTAAGATTACAGGTGTGAGCCTGTAGACATACTTTTCCCCCCCTCCTAATCCTTCCTTGATTATCTAAATCTTATTTTTAAGAATTTTCTTATTTGTATAAATTTTATTAGATATAAACCATTCTTAAGTTTTGGTTTCCTCTATTATAATCAAAGTATATTTCAATAAATAATCTTTGTTGTCATGCTGGCTCATTTTATTCTGCAGCCTTACAAAGATAGAATGAATATAAGAGACGTAATAAATTGAGGTGTTTAATATTTTACATTGTGGATATTAGACATTAGCAAAGCTATCTTTTTTTGTTGTTGTTAGTTGTAGAGCTTGAACTCTGGGCCTGGGCCTCTGTCCCTCAGCTCTTCAGCTCAAGGAAAGCACCCTACCACTTGAGCCACAGTGCCACTTCTTGTTTTCTGGTGGTTTATTGGATATAAGAGTCTTACAGACTTTTCTGCCGGGGCTGGCTTTGAACCTCAATCCTCAGATCTCAGCCTCCTGAGTTGCTAAAATTACAGGTGTGAGCCACCGGTGCCCGGCTCAGAGCTATCTTTAAATACAATGCTTTGACTAAAAAAGATTTTAAATCTTTGGTGACATATATAGTAAAATGATTTCTGTAACACATGTACAGGTTTTAATTAAATTAGATTCTTAAGATGGTTTAAACGAAAAATGAAATTTTTTTGTATAATCTTGCTCTTTCAGTTGAAGAAGTGGTTGTGACTCTGCAGCTTGTAGGTGACAAAGAACCAACAGAGACAATAGGAGACTTGTCAATTTGTCTTGATGGGCTGCAGTTAGATGCTGATGTTGTTACTAATGGTGAAACTACATGTTCAGAAAGTAAGTGTTCACTTTTTTTGATATAGGGTCTCACTCTGTTGTCTAGGCTAGCCTTGAACTCACAATAAGGTCTGCATCAAATAACCAGTGTAGGACAGGATGTGGTTCAAATCTTAGGAGGCCCTGAGTTCATCCTCAGTACCACCAAAATAAAATAATAAACAATAAATAATAATAAAAATGGAAATTGCCACTGTAGTATGCTATCTGTAAATATGATTATTGTTATTTTTTTTTTTTTGGTCAGTTTTGGGGTTTGAACTCAGGGCCTGGACACTGTCCTTGAGCTTTTTTGCACACTACCATGTTAATCCACAGTGCCACTTCCGGTTTTCTGATGGTTAGTTGGAGATAAGGAGATAAGAGTCTGATGGACTTTCCTATCCATTCTAGCTGGCTTCAATTGCTGATCTTCATATCTCAGCCTCCTGAGAAGCTAGGATTATATGCATGAGCCACCAGTGTCTGGCTTGTTGTGATTCTTTTTCAGAAAACCAACATGTTATTTCTTGTTTAAAAAGACTTTGGTCACTTTAAATGATTTCTTTTTAATGTGTTCTTTCTATGAACTAAAACCATTTGTACTTTTTTTTTTTTTTGTCTGTCGTGGGGCTTGACCTCGGGGCTTGGGTACTGTCCCTGAGCTCTTCAGCTCAATGCTAGCATTCTACCACTACTTGAGCCACAGTGCCACTTCCAGTTTTCTGGTGGTTTATTGGAAATAAAGAGTCTCACAGACTTTCCTGCCTGGCTGGTTTTGAACTGTGATCCTCAGATCTCAGCCTCCTGAGTAGCTATAGGATTACAGGTGTAAGCCACCAGTGCCTGGTACTTCCAGCTTTTTCTGTGTATGTGGTACTGAGGAATTGAACCCAGGGCTTCATGCATGCAAGACAAACACTCTACCCCTAAGCCACCTTCGTAGCCTGATACAGTATTTTTAGCTGCACGTACTCTAGACAAAACAAGTTCTTGTTGAGGTTTAGATACAACTCCAAATCCTTGTAAGTACTAGACCAGACAAATAATATAAGCTGAAAACCATTTGCCATCCTTCTTCCATTTCTCAGAGTTTTCTGTTTTTATGACAAAACCAATAGCTTATATGTATGCTGGTATATTAGAATTTATGATTTATTGGGTTTTGCTAAAGGTGACTAAACCTAAACCACAATTAAAGTTTCTGGTGATACCTGAGCATCTGATAATATGTTTAATAAAACTTCTTGCCAGTACATCTCTAACAGATATTTTCCTCACTTAGTAATATGCTGTTTTTTTTTACTTTTACCACAGATTTCAGAGTCCTTAAGACAAGGAACAGATTAATATTTCCCTTGATTAATCTAACAAAGAATTTTTTTTTTTTTTTGGTTGTGGGGCCTGAACTTTGGGCGTGAACACTGTCCCTCAGCTCTTCAGCTCAAGACTAGTGCTCTACCACTTGAGCCACAACACCACTTCCAGCTTTTTGTGCTTATGTGGTGCTGAGGAATCGAAACCAGGGCCTCATGCATGCAAGGCAAGCACTTTACCACTGAGCCACCTTCCCAGACCAAAAGAACTTTTAGTTTACATAGAACTATATTTTGGAATTGTTTGGTACTATTGCTCTTTATTTATTTATTTATTTATTTATTTATTTATTGTCGGTTATGGGGCCTGAACTCTGGGCCTTGGTGCTGTCCCTTAGCTCTTCAGCTGAAGGCTAGCGCTCTGCCACCTGAGCCACAGGGCCACTTCCAGCTTTTTCTGCTTATGTGGTGCTGAGGAATCGAACCCAGGGCCTCATGCATGCAAGGCAAGTGCTCTACCACTGAGCCACCTTCCCAGCCCCTGCTCTCTTCCATTTAATACATTGGTGAAGGACTTCCTACTTTTTTTTTTTTTTTTGCTTATGTGGTGCTGAGGAATCGAACCCAGGGCCTCAGGCATGCAAGGCAAGCGCTCTACCACTGAGCCAACTTCCCAGCCCTTCCTACTTTCCTTTTAACTCATGACTTTTATTATAGCAAGACTTATAACATAGTCCCAAAGTTTCTTCCAGATTTTTTTTTTTAATATATTCAGGTTTTTTTTTTTTTCCCAGTTGTGGGGCTTGAACTCTGGGCCTGGGCCCTGTCCCTCAGCTCTTCAGCTCAAGGCGAGTGCTCTACCACTTAAGCCATAGCGCCACTTCTGGATTTCTGGTGGTTTATTGGAGATAAGAGTCTCACAGACTTTACTGCCCGGGCTGGCTTTTTTTTTTTTCTTTAGGGTCCGGTTGTGGGGCCTGAACTCTGAGCCTGGGCGCTGTCCTTCAGCTCTTCAGCTCAAGGCTAGTGCTCTACCACTTGAGCCACAGCACCACTTCCGGCTTTTTTCTTTTTGCTTATGTGGTGCTGAGGAATCGAACCCAGGGCCTCATACGTGCAAGGCAAGCGCTCTACCACTGAGCCACCTTCCCAGCCCCTCCCGGGCTGGCTTTGAACTGTGATCCTCAGATCTCAGGATTACAGGCGTGAGCCACCAGCACCTGGCCAGATTGGGTTGTTAAGGTAAATGAGGGTATGCCAACTTATACTCAAGGCTTTATGCTCTTACTCAGTTTTTCTCCATCACAGCTGGTGCATTATACCACTTGAACCATACTTCCATATGGACTTCTTTGCCTTGTTTTGAATTGTGATACTCAGATTTCAGCCTCTGGAATAGCTAGAATTAAGCCAGCACCTGGCTTCTCATTGCACATTTTTGAGGTTTATCTAAGCATGAACATGTTTCAGTAGTTGTTTTTTTGTTTGTTTGTTTGTTTTTTGGTCAACCATGGGGCTTGAACTCTAGGTCTGGGTACTGTCCCTGATCTCTTCAGCTTAAGGCTAGCACACTACCACTTGAGCCACAGTGCCACTTCCGGCCTTTTTTTTTTTTGTTTATGTGGTGCTGAGGAATTGAACACAGGGCCTCATGCATGTGAGGCAAGCACTCTACTGCTGAGCCACCTTCCCAGCCCCTCAGTAATTGTTTTTTAATGAGTACTTTTCATTGTGTAAGTATGTAATATTTTATTTATCCATTTCCCTGTATCATTTTTAAAATGTATGATTCTACCTTCAGCTCTGCAAAAGAAAAAAATGAAAGGTATGTTATTAGACTGGATCAGATATTTGCTAAGTACAGTGTAGTATGTTTGACTCCCCATCTTTTTATTGAATTAATCCATTACTCTGCTCTAGTGTAATGTAATAATGATTGTACTGTTTGAAACATTACTGTATCCAAGGAGTATTATTCCTTACCAAACGCATTTAGACCATTGAATTCTTGTTTCTACACTTTGTTTTCCTGTGTCTAAAACCTATTTTTCCTACTGTTTGCCCATCTCTAACAGCTTCCTTTTAACACTTAGTTCTGACAAAGTCCAAGGAATATTTCCCATGAATAAAACTGAAAGAAAACATGAACAGTTGAAGTGAAGGTATGATCCAAGTGGCAGAATGATACCCTTGAGGAAAAAGCTAATAAGCAAGAGCATAAGGTCCTGAGTTTAACCTCCAAAACCAGCATAAAAACAGAAGCATAAACATTTTGGCATTTATCTTCACTCTTAGAGTTGTTTTAACTTTTTTTTGGGGGGGGGTCTGGTCGTGGGGCCTGAACTCTAGGCCTGGGCGCTGTCCCTCAGCTCTTCAGCTCAAGGCTAGAGCTCTACCACTTGAGCCACAGTGCCACTTCCAGCTTTTTTCTTTTTGCTTATGTGGTGCTGAGGAATCGAACCCAGGGCCTCATGCATGCAAGGCAAGTGCTCTACCACTGAGCCACCTTCCCAGCCCTCTTAGAGTTGTTTTATGCCATTCTTATTCTTAAAAGCATGCCAGGTGCCGGTTGCTCACTCCTGTAATCCCAGCTCCTCAAGAGGCTGAGATCTCAGGATTGCAGTTCAAAGCCAGCCTGGGCAGGAAAGTCCATGAGACTCTCTTTTTTTTTTTTTTGCTTATGTGGTGCTGAAGGAATCGAACTCAGGGCCTCATGCATGCAAGGCAAGCACTCTACCACTCAGCCACCTTCCCAGCCCCTCCATGAGACTCTTATCTCCAATAAACTACCAGGAAACCACAAGTGGTGCTGTGGCTAGAGTGGTAGAGCGCTTGCCTTGAGCTGAAGAGCTGAGGGACAGTGCCCAGGCCCAGAGTTTTTTAAAAAAAAAAAAAAAAAAGCTGTTTTCTTTGTACCTATTTAAGGGTCCTATATATAACAGACAGTTGTAATAGTTTTGTTCTTTTCAGAGTTTTGCTTTAATGATTATGTTTTTTTTTTTTTATCATTTTTCTTGAAGTATTTAGGGTATAAAAGTTGACCAAATATTATATGTTTAATTCTAAATCAAATCTATCAAAAAAGGGAAAAGTAGTTTATGAATATTATACTTTAGCTAATTAACCTTTTACCATGATGATAAATATCTGTATAAAATTTTGGTAAGACATTTCAATTATAAGAACATTTAGCACATTTTTCCTGGAAAACTCAGTTTTTAATTTAAGTGATACATTCTTTACTAGAAATACTTAATCAGGGGCTGGGAAGGTGGCTCAGTGGTAGAGCGCTTGCCTTGCATGCCTGAGGCCCTGGGTTTGATTCCTCAGCACCACATAAGCAAAAAGAAAAAAGCCGGAAGTGGTGCTGTGGCTCAAGTGGTAGAGCCCTAGCCTTGAGCTGAAGAGCTGAGGGACAGCACCCAGGCCCAGAGTTCAGGCCCCATGACCGGACCCTCCCCCCAAAAAAAAGAAAAAAGAAAAATTTAATTAAAAGCTTTGCTTGCATGACATATTTAGGAGACTCTTTTTAAACTAATTTTACTTAAATTTTATTGATGTTAAAGGTACCTCACAGAATGATGATGGCTCTAGACCCAAGGATGAAACAAGGTAAGAGTATATTGCTTCCCACCACAAAATGCAAAGAGATACAAGGGAGAATTAATGTAAATTTATTAAAATTGCAGTTTCAGATTGGTTAAAAAAAATCATGTAATACAACTTAAGTATATGTTCACTTTTTTATTGAAAATAAAACATGGGGCTGGGAAGGTGCCTCAGTGGTAGAGCACTTGCCTTGCATGCTCGAGGCCCTGGGTTCGATTCCTCACCACCACATAAGAAAAAAGCCAGAAGTGGTGCTGTGGCTCAAGTGGTAGAGCGCTAGCCTTGAGCTGAAGAGCTGAGGGACAGCGCCCAGGCCCAGAGTTCAGGCCCCATGACCGGACCCAAAAAAAAAAAAAGAAAATAAAACGTATGTGCACAACAAAAAATGATTCAATACCTGATGGCTCATATTTCTTCCTCCCTTCCTTCCTCCTTTCCTTCCTTCCTTCCTTCCTCCCTCCCTCCTTCCCTCCCTCCCTCCTCTCTCTCTCTCTTCTTTCTTTTTTTTTTTTTGGTCCGGGTCGTGGGGCCTGAACTCTGGGCCTGGGCGCTGTCCCTCAGCTCTTCAGCTCAAGGCTAGCACTCTACCACTTGAGCCACAGCGCCACTTCCAGCTTTTTTCTTTTTGCTTATGTGGTGCTAAGGAATTGAACCCAGGGCCTCAGGCATGCAAGGCAAGCGCTCTACCACTGAGCCACCTTCCCAGCCCTCTCTCTTTTATTTCTTTGTGTGCCTTCCTTCCTTCCTCCCTCCCTCCCTCCCTCCCTCCCTCCCTCCCTCCCTCCCTCCCTCCCTCCCTTTCTTCCCTCCCTCCCTCCCTTCCTTCCTTCCCTCCCTTGAACTCTGGGCCTGGGCACTCTCCCTGAGCTCTTTGACTCTCAAGGCCAGTGCTGGCTCAAGGCGAGTGCTCTACCAGTTGAGTCATAATGCCACTTCCAGTTTTCTGGTGGTTTATTGAAGAGTCTCACAGATTTTCCTGCACAGTCTGGATTTGAACCATGATCCTCAGATCTCAACCTCCTGAGTTGCTAGGATTATAGGCGTGAGCCACCAGGCTACAAATTTGTTGATGGAACAGATTTTGTTAAAACTTACCCGATGACTGGGCTGGGAAGGTAGCTCAGTGGTAGAGCGCTTGCCTTGCATGCTCGAGGCCCTGGGTTTGATTCCTCAGCACCACATAAGCAAAAAGAAAAAAAGCTGGAAATGGCGCTGTGGCTCAAGTGGTAGAGCGCTAGCCTTGAGCTGAAGAGCTGAGGGACAGTGCCCAGGCCCAGAGTTCAGGCCCCATGACCGGACCCAAAAAAAAAAAAAAAAAAAACTTATCCAATGGCAAAGGAGGAGGCTACAATGCTTGATAAGAAATGTACTCATATCTTGCCCGTGTAATTGTAACCCCTCTGTACAGTATTTTCACAATTAAAACAAACATATATATGACCATTATAAAAAGAAAACTTATCCAATGGGGCTGGAAGATGGCTCAGTGCTTGCCTCGCATGTACTAGGCCCTGGGTTCGATTCCATGTAAACAGAAAAAGCTGGAAGTGGCACTCTGGCTGAAGTGGTAGAGCCCTAGCCTTGAGCTGAAGATCTTAGGGACAGTGCCCAGAGTTGAAGCCCCATGACAGACCCAAAAAATTAATTAATTAATTAAATTTAAAAAAATATATTATCTGATGGACCAGAGATATTAGTTGAATACCCTGATGGGTTTGCAAGTAGTAGAGTCAAAATTGCAGCTGATGCATCTTCGAACTGGCGTCTTATATTCTGGTTTCTTTTTTTTTTTCTTTTTTTTAAACTGGTCCTGAGCCTTGAACTCTGGGCTTAGGTACTATCCCTGAGCTCCTTTTGCTCAAGGACAGTATCTACCACTTGAGCTACAGCACAGCTTCCAGCTTTTTCTGTGATTAAGAGTGTCATGTATTTTCCTGCCCAGGCTGGTTTCAAACCTCGGTCCTCAGATCTCAGCCTCCTGAGTAGCTAGATTACAGATCTGAGCCACCAGCACCCAGCTTATATTCTGGTTTCTAACTAAGACAGTAGTAATAGTTTCCTACCTAATAATGCCTGATAGTGTCCTTCCTTCTGTTTTGTTGATGTCATTGCTTAAAGTAATGACATCTTTATGAAAACGTCAGTAGGCAACTGGATACAATGCCTTCTTTTTCCTGGCACAGGATAGCTTGTCTTCAAACTTGTATTAACATTAATAGCCAATAGAAACCAAGAACACAATGATAGCAAAGTTACCTATGCTTGTGATAAAGTAGTGCTTTTTTCCCCTAAGATTTGGGATTTTGACAACTTGACTTTATTCCTGTTTATGCAAGGCCTTCCAAAGATTTATTTGAAATCTGAATTAGGTATACCTAATAATGTGATAATAGTATGTTAAGTCGTCTGATAATGACTGGTAATTTTGGTCTTTCTGCCTTAAAAATTTTTTTTTCAATTCAAAAGTGCCAGTGGCTCATGCCTATAATCCTAGCTACTCAGGAGGCTGAGATCTGAGGATCGCAGCCCAGGCAGTAAAGTCTGTGGGACTCTCCAATTAACTACCAAGAAGTTTCAAGTGGAGGTGTGGCTCTGGTAGAGTGCTAGCCTTGAGCAAAAAAGTTCAGGGACAGGGCTGGGAAGGTGACTCAGTGGTAGAGCGCTTGCCTTGCATGCATGAGGCCCTGGGTTCCATTCCTCAGCACCACATAAGCAAAAAGAAAAAAGCCTGAAGTGGTGCTGTGGCTCAAGTGTTAGAACACTATCCTTGAGCTGAAGAGCTGAGGGACAGCAGCACCCAGGCCCAGAGTTCAGGCCCCACAACCAGACCCCCCCCCAAAAAAAAAAAAAGTTCAGGGACAGCACCTAGGACTGATACATACACAAATATATGCATACATGCAAACATACATACATACATTCAAAGGATATTTGTTTTTTCTTCCTTCCTCCTAACCTAGAGTGAACACAAATGGATCAGATGACCCTGATGATTCAGGGTCTGGTGAAAATAGGAGAACCAATGGGAACAATTCTCCATCACTCTCCAATGGTGGGTTTAAGCCTTCTAGACCTCCAAGACCTTCACGACCACCTCCACCCACACCTCGAAGACCAGGTGTGTACCTTAGCTTTCAATACCATTTTGTAAATAACATTCTATTTGGTTATTAATCCACAGGATATCAATTACTAGCTTTTCTGAAGTCAGTTTACTGATTGTATGTGTGTGTGTGTGTTACATTTCAGATTTGTGTTCAGAAAGATCTTTGAATAGATAACCCAGAAAGTTAGTGCCTTTGTCCTAAGTTTTTCTTCCAGGAGTGAAGTTACAGAAACATTGCTCTATTGAGAATGAAAATTGAATAATTGAAAATAAAATATTGACTACAGATAAGATTGTAACTTTTTAGCATGATTTGTAACTGTAAGACATGTAAGAATGTCTTATAGTTATTAATTTGGTTGCTTCCCATATTGTCCTTACAAAGGTGACCGTGGTAAATGGTAATCAGATTTTGAACCAACAACTATGCAACAAATAAACATATTTCATGTAGTAAAACTGTAAACACAGGCAGAATATTCATTTTTCTATTTAGCTATAACAAATATTCACTTAACATTTTATTATTTCTTATGATACTATGTAGGTAAGGAATGAGAATTAAGCCAGTTATTAGAAAAATGGTTTGTCCACAAATTATTTTATTAAATAAGTTTATGTTTAATTGTACATGTGTTTTGCTTCTCTGTAGATAATCATGTTAACAATGTATTCAAAGTTTTTTTTGGTGTGTATTGTATTTTTTGGTCAGTCGTGGGTCTTGAACTCTGGGCCTGGGCTGTCCCTGAGCTCTTTAGCTCAAGGCAAGTGCTCTACCACTTGAGCCACAGCCACAGTGGTACTTCTGGTTTAGAGTGCTTTCCTATCATGTATATGGTCCTAAGTTGATCACCAGCACCACAGAAATCAATTAGTAAAATCATTTTAATTTCCTGTGGTATCATGAAATTAGAATCTATATATGCATTATAATTAATAATGAGACATAGGGTAGACCAGAGCTAAACCATGAACAAAGGAGATATTGCCATCTCTATTATTTTTCTTTCATTTTCTTTTCTTTTTTTTGGGGGGGGGGGGCCCTGGTTGTGGGGCCTGAACTCTGGGCCTGGGCACTGTCCCTCAGTTCTTCAGCTCAAGGCTAGCGCTCTACCACTTGAGCCACAGCACCACTTCCGGCTTTTTTTTCTGCTTATGTGGTGCTGAGGAATGGAACCCAGGGCCTCATGCCTGCAAGGCAAGCGCTCTACCACTGAGCTACCTTCCCAGCCCCTTTTCTTTCATTTTCATCTGCATCTTTTTTTTTGGCCAGTCCTGGGGCTTGAACTCAAGCCTGGGTACTGTCCCTGAGCTTTTGCTCAAGGCTAGCACTCTACCACTTGAGCCCCAGTGCTACTTCTGGCTTTTTTATTTATGTGGTGCTGAGGAATAGAACCCAGGGCTTCAAGCATGCTAGGCAAGCACTCTACCACTAAGCCACATTCCCAGCACCTTTCATCTGCATTTTAAGTTTGTTCAACATTACCTTTTGCTTATTTGTTTTTTATGGTGGTGTTGGGGTTTGAACTGGTATCTTGCTTGTTCAGTTTGACCCACAATTCTACCCTGGCTTTTTGTTGGTTGTATTATTTTGGAGATGAAGTGTTATGGACGCTTTTTTTTTGCCCAATCTGACTACCAACCTTGAAATCTGGAGAGATCTAACCCTCCCGAGGAGCTAGGATTATAGGTGTGAGCCACTGGTGCCTGGCATTACCTTTTTTTTTTTTTTTTCTTTAAGATTCTATTCTGATTTTAGATTTCAGAACTTAAAAAATTCTTTTCATTTTTTTCCTCCAAATCTATAGCATCTGTCAATGGCTCACCATCTACCACTTCTGAAAGTGATGGATCTAGTACTGGTTCTCTACCATCAACAAATACAAATACCTCTGAAGGAGCAACATCTGGATTAATAATTCCTCTAACTATTTCCGGAGGCTCAGGTCCTAGACCATTAAATACTGTAACTCAAGCTCCCCTACCACCTGGGTAAGTAACTTTTTTGGTTAATATTTATTTTCTCTATCTGCATATACTCATTAATAGAAAAAGTAACACTGCATTCTTTTGTCATCTTCAAGCAATTGTAATTGATTTGGGGGAATGTAGAGTCAAAGCTTATATATAACATTCGAAATACTTGTAATTTTAGCTATTCAGGAGGCTGAAATTTGAGAATCATGGTTTCAAACCAGCCCAAGCAAGGAAGTCTGTGAGACCCCCTGTCTCACAGACCCCCCCTTCCCCCCCCCTCCCCCCCCCCCCCCGCCCCAGTTGAACTTGGCCTGGGTGTTCACTGTCCCTAAGTTCTTCAAGCCCAAGGTGAGACTCTTACCACTTTGAGCCCCAGTGCCATTTCCTGTTTCCTGGTGGTTAATTGGAGATAAGAATCTCATGAACTTTCCTGCCCTGGCTGGCTTCAAACCATAATTTTCAGATCTGAGTAGGATTATAGGTGTGAGCCACCAGCGCCCAGCTCTGTGAGACTTTTATTTCCAATTAACCAGCAAAAAGCCAAAAATGGAACTGTTACTCAGGTGGTAGAGTTCCAGCGTTGCACACAGCTCTAAAGGACTATATTTAGGCCCTGAGTTCAAGTCCTAGAACCAACACCAAAAAATGTAAAAGAAAAAGATCTTCTCATTTCCTACAAGAAATAAAAGTGTTTTGGGGTGTTTTTGTTTTTGTTTTTGAGACACGATCTTGTGGCCCAAACTGGCCTTAAACTTGAGAGCCTCTTGTACCCACCTCCAAGGATAGGATTACAGGCCACCCACATCTAGCCTAAGAATTTTTTTAAAACTAAAAAGCCTTGAACCATAGAAAAATAATCAAGGCCAAGTAATAAGCTAGTCACTAATTCAGACAATATTTTTTCTTTTGTTTTTTGGACAGTCCTGGGGCTTGAACTCAGGGCCTAGGCACTATGCCTTAGCTGCTTTTTACCGTTTGAGCCACAGCACCACTTTTTGCTTTTTCTGAGTAGTTTATTGGAGATAGGAGTCTCAAGATCTTGGCCTCCTGAGTAGCTAGTATCATAGGTGTGAGCCACTGGCTTCTGCCTAAATCTTAATCTTCCTATTTATACTTCCCATATGGCAGAGGTGACAGGTTCATTATTATTGGCTTCTTATTGGTTGAGATGGGGCTAAAACCTCCAGATCTTAGTCTTCTAGGTAACTAATATTACAGGTATACGTCACCACACACACAGCTTCTTATTAGTATTTTTAATTTTGTGTTTAAGATGGGAACAGAGAGTGGACCAGCATGGGCGAGTTTATTACGTAGATCATGTTGAAAAAAGAACAACATGGGATAGACCTGAACCTCTACCTCCTGGGTAAGTATCTGAATTAGAAAAGAAAAAAAATTGTTTATTCAAAGGTATTAATTACATCTGTACAAAATCTTCCCCCATATGCTGTGTTACTAATTTACATCTCCTTGTCAGTCCTTTCTCTGCATTTTTATTTTGTAGTTGGCACAAAATAGAATGAAGAGAGCAAGAGAGCTGGAGAGTTGATTCAGAGCCTGTCTTTTTTATTATTATTATTTTTTGGTCCGTCATGGGGCTTGAACTCTGGGCTTGGGCACTGTCCCTGAGCTTTTCAGCTTAAGGCAAGTGCACTACCACTTGAGCCACAGTGCCACTTAAGAGCCTGACTTTTTTTTTTTGCGGGGGGGGGGGGGTGAGTGGGCAGGACTGGGCTTGACTTTCTTGCCTGGGCTGGGTTTGAACTGTGATCCTCATATCTCAGCCTCTGGAGTAGCTAGGATTACAAGCTGGTGCCCAGCTTGTCCTGAATTTTTTTGCTCAAGGCTAGTGCTCTACCACTTGAGAGCTCTATCACTGGAAGCTCTGCTTCCAGTTTTTGTGGTAGATAATTAGAGATAAAAGTTTCACGGACTTTCTTGTCTGGGCTGGCTTTGAATCATGATCCTCAAATCTTAGCCTCTTGAGTAGCTAGGATTAGAGGCATGAACTACCAGCACCCAGCTTCAATTGCCTTTTTTGCTTAGGCCTGGCATTCTGCCACTTGAATCATACCTCTACTTCTAGTTTTTTTTCTGGCTAATTGGAGATAAAAGCTTCTCAGATTAGTCTACCCAGTCTGGCTTCAAACTTCAATCCTTAGATTTCAACCTCATGAGTAGCTAAAATTGTAGATGTGAGCCACTATTGTCTAGTTTCACTCATTTTTGATTTATAGATCCCATAGTTCAGATGTTGGCATGGCTCAAGTGGTAGAAAGGCAAGGCCCTGAGAACAAAGTTTAGGACTGCCACCCCCTCAAAAAAACAGAAAAAGCTAGCATAGATTCCATAGTTGATGTTCAGTAAATTTTACTATCCAATTATTTACCTAGCCACAAAGTTAATTCCTTCCTTCCTTCCTTTCCTCCTTCCTTCCTTCTTTCCTTTCTTCCGTTTTTCCTTTCTTCCTATTCTCCTTCCCTCCTTCTTTCCTTCTCTCCTTCATTCTTGTGCTGCTACTGGGCCTTTGAACTCAGGACCTAGGCACCATCCTTTCACTTTTGTACTCAAGGCTGATGCCCTAATACTTGATGGACAACTCCAGTTCCATCTTTTGCCAATTGCTTGGATATAAGGGTCACATGGACTTTGCTGCTTGGGCCTGATTCACAGATCTCTACCTTCTGAATAGCTAGGATGATAAACATGAGCCACCAGTATCTGGCTTAGTATTAGTTTCTTCAGAGTAATTATTGCAAGATGCTGGTGGCATTAAATCTGTAATCCTAGCTACTTGGAAGATTGAAATATGAGGATTGTGGTTCGAAGCCAGCCCAGGCAGGAAAGTCCATGAGAATTGTATATCCAATTAACCAGCAAAAAGATGTATGTGGAAGTGTGGTTCAAGTGGTAAAGGGCCATCTTTGAGTAATAAGGCTAAGAAAGAGCATGAGATTCTTGAGTTCAAGTTTCTGCACGTGTACACACATGTGTGTGCACACAGAAGTAATTAGTTAGCTGAATAAGAATTATAGCTTTTATGATATATTAAAACAAAGTCCCTAGTTTTTTTGTTTGTTTGTTTTTTTGGGGGGGGGGGTGTCCGGTCATGGGGCCTGAACTCTGTCCCTCAGCTCTTCAGCTCAAGGCTGGCGTTCTACCACTTGAGCCACAGCGCCACTTCCGGTGTTTTTCTTTTTGCTTATGTGCTGCTGAGGAATCGAATCCAGGGCCTATGCATACAAGGCAAACGTTCTACCACTGAGCCACCTTCCCAGCCTAAAGTCCTTAGTTTGTAAAAAAAGAAATAAAACTAATATGTGTTAGTGTTGTCATAGCAAAATAGTTGAGAAACTTAAAGATATTAATGCATGGTGTTAAGCACTTAAAATAATTGGAAGAAACTTTTTTTTTATTTTTTTTTTAATTTAAAAAAATTTTTGTCAGCTGTCGGGCCTGAACTCTGGGCCTGGGCGCTGTCCCTCAGCTCTTCAGCTCAAGGCTAGTGCTCTGCCATTTGAGCCACAACGCCTATTCCTGCTCTTTCTGCTTATATAGCGCTGAAAGATCTAACCCAGGGCCTCATGCAAGGCAAGCACTCTACCACTGAGCCACCTTCCCAGCCCAAAAAGATATTTTTAATTTAGAAGAAAGTATATAACAAGTATGGAAAAGTGTTTTACCTTGATAATAATTTTAAAGACACACTTAAAAGACAACTGTTTACTTAGTATTACAGATAGTATCAAGTGTTAGTGAGGAACTTTACCCTATAATTTTGTTAGTAATAGTATATATTTGCTTCAACTGTTACACAAAACTATTCTTAAAAATATATATCCTGAGTCGAGCCTCAGTGGCTCATGCCTGTAAATCCTAGCTGCTTAGGAAGCTGATATCTGAGGATCATGGTTTGAAGCCAGCCCAAGCAAGAAAATCTATGAGACTCTTATCTCCAATAAACTACTCAAAAGATCCAGAAGTGTCACTGTGGCTCATGTGGTAGAATGCTTGCCTTGAGCAAGTTCAGGGACAGAGCCCAGGACCAGAGTTCAAGCCCCAGGATGGGCAATAAATAAAATACCCCCCCCACACACACACACACACATGAAAGTGGAAGTGTGATCCAAGTGATAGGGGGCCAGCCTTGAATGAAAAAGCTATGTGAATATACAGGCTCACACCTGTATATTCCCAGCTACTCAGGAAGCTGATATCCGAGGATTGAGGTTTGAAGCTGGCCTGGGCAGAAAAGTTCCCATGAGATTCTTATTTCCAATTAACCACTCAAAAAGCAGAAGTAGTGCTGTGGCTCACTTGGTAGAGCATTAGCCTTGAGCACAAAGAAGCTCAGAGACAGCACCCTGGCCCTGAGTTCAAGCCCCACAACTGACAAAAAAAAAGCTAACTGAGAATGTGAGGTCCCGAATTCAGGCCCCAGTATTGGCATACATGCATGCACGCACGCGCGTGCGCGCGCATGCGCACACGCGCACACGCGCGCACACACACACACACACACACACACACACACACACACACACACACACACACATAATGGATATATCCTTAGTAATTCTCTGTAGGAATTTTATCGTGGAGAAATAATTTAAAGGAAGGAAGTAAAAAAGTTTGATTATGAAAGGTATTTATTATTTTATTATAATACCAGAATATTGGAAACAGTTCTAATAACCAACTAGGTAGAAATAAGTTTATTGTATCAATTTTTACTTAAGTAATGTTAGTAGAAAAGGTAGTTGCATTCTTGTGTGAAGTGCTTTTTTCATTTCCAATTTATGTCCTTACGATTGCAACAGTAAAAAAAATTCATTGGAAAAATACTCTTTATATTAATGACTCTTAGGTTTACTTAGTAAATATACATTGTTTTTAAGACCTTACCTAAAAGAACTCATAAATAAAATTTAGAATTTTGGAAACATTTTTAAGTTTACTTGTACACTATTTGTGAAAGAAAATGTGAAAGACTTTAGGTAAATCAGAAGTAATCTCCAAGTAAAATGTCTGTTTTATAAGTATTTGTTATATTAGTTTGTTTTTGTTTTGATTTAGCTGGGAGCGGCGGGTTGACAATATGGGACGTATTTATTATGTTGACCATTTTACAAGAACAACAACATGGCAGAGGCCAACACTGGAATCTGTCCGCAACTATGAACAATGGCAGCTACAACGTAGCCAACTTCAAGGAGCAATGCAGCAGTTTAATCAGAGATTTATTTATGGGGTGAGTAGCTTGTTGATTTGTTTCTGTCTGTTCCTTCATTTCTTGCTATATCTCTCAGGATGGCCTTGGACTCACAGTCCTCCTAACAGTAGCCTCATGAGTGCTGGAATTATAGATATGTGCCGCTATGCCTGGCTTGTTTTGTTAGCTAATGTAACCAATGGAAATACTCTTTTTTTTTTTTCTTTTTTTAATGTGCGAGCACAGGGACTTGAACTCAGGGCCTTGCACTCTTACTTAGCTTTTCCCACTCAAGCTTGGCACTCTATCACTTAAGACATACCTTCATTCATTTCCAGCCTTGCCTGGCTAATTGAGTTTCTTGGATTTTTCAAGGATCCTCATACTGCAATCCTCAAATCTCAGCTTCCTGAGTAGCTTGGATTACAAGAGTAATCTACTTGCACCTGGCAGTATTTCATTTTTAAACTTTTCCTGCATATGTCATGTAAAGCACTAAAAAAAGTACGAGGCGGGGGCTGGGAAGGTAGCTCAGTGATAGAGCGCTTGCCTTGCATGCCTGAGGCCCTGGGTTCGATTCCTCAGCACTACATAAGCAAAAAGAAAAAAGCCAGAAGTGGTGCTATGGCTCAAGTGGTAGAGCGCTAGCCTTGAGCTGTAGAGCTGAGGGACAGCGCCCAGGCCCAGAGTCCAGGCCCCATAACTGGACCCAAAAAAAAAAAAAAAAGTACAAGGCAGGTGACAACCCAGTAGTTGCTACTAATAAATATTGTGTTTGGAACAGTCTGTGAACACAATCTGTCTTTTTTAATTTTTTTGTTGGTCATGCGGCTTGAACTCTGGGTCTGGGTGCTGTTCCTGAGCTCTTCAGCTCAAGGCAAGTGCTCTTCCACTTGAGCCATAGCACACTTCCAGTTTTCTGGTGGTTAATTGGAGATGAGAATCTCACAGACTTTACTGTCCTCAGATCTCAGCTGAGTAGCTGGAATTACAGGCGTGAACTGGTAGGCACCTGGCACAATCTGTCTTTTCTGTAAAGGAAGTCCAATTTTCTTTTGGGTACTTGTAGGGCTTGAACTCAAGGCCTGAGTGTCATCCCTAAGCTTTGTTTTTGTTTTCGTTTTGTTGTTTTTGTTTTTCTTTTTTGCCAGTCCTGGGGCTTGACCTCAGGGTCTGGGCACTATCCCTGAGCTGCTTTTCACTCAAGGTTAGCACTCTACCACTTCTGGCTTTTTTTGTGTGTGGTACTGAGGAATTGAACCTGGGGCTAGGTAAGCACACTACCATGAAGCCACATTCCCAGCCCCCCTAAACTTTTTTGCTCAAGGCTAGCACTCTACCACTTGTACTATGAAGGAGAAAATGTAAACCTGGATAGGAAGTAATCCAAAGAAAGTAACCCAAAAGACCACGTGGACAGAAGTTAAGTATAGAAAAGATTTATTGCCAGCAGAGCTGACAAGGCCAAGTTCTCATGAGGAAAAGGAGAAAATGGTGCCGTCTGGCTCTTTGGAGGCCCCTTTTATATTGGAGGCCAGATGTGGGAGGTGCCTCACCTACTGCTCAGGTGCTGCCATCAAGGGCAGAGATTAGGCCTGCAAAGTGGGCATTTCCTTACATTTTTCCCCTTTTTGCTTTAATATGTATAGTACTGGGCAGGGAATATGGGTGAAGGTCTCTTCTGGAGCTACTTCCTGCTGAGAGGGGGCACTGTAAGGGGAGAAGAGGTGCTAGGGTACTGTACATGAAGTTGACCAAGGTCATGATGGTTATAAAGATGTTACTTGTCCAGAGCAGAGTCCTCTGGTTCCTCGATGACTGGAGAAAATCTTTTTTATCCGTAGAGATAGGGGTCCAGTTGGCCAGATGTATATGAGGGTCCATCAGGCACATAATGTTTAACGTGCCGGATGTGAAGCCAATGTGGACAGCCCTGAACCTGCACAGCTGTGGGAGTAGAGAGAGTTAGGGTCCCTCCCACTTAGCAGAGAGCTTAGTGGAACCAGGTGCCCATGGCAGGTAATTTCTTGAAATGTACACTAGGTCCCAGCCTTGATGGAAGGCTCGGAGAGCAGTGTGGAGGGCTTAGGTTCTTAGTGGTCCATATACTTTCACAGAAAAGTGTGCAGTTGTTGAAGGAGAGATGACAGCATTGGGGCGGGGGAGGGGGGGAGCGGCGCAAAGGGGAGTCTGAGGTCTGAAATAGGGGAGGCAAAGATGAGCAGCCATACATAACTTCAAAAGGACTTAATGTTAGGGGTTTTTTTGGCAGGACCCTTAAGGGGAAGAGAGCTAAAGGTAAAAGTTTTACCCAATCTAGATCTAGTTCAAAGGACAGCTTGGTCAGAGTTTGCTTAAGGGAGCGGTTGGCACATTCCACCTTTCCCGAGGACTGGGGGCGATAGGAATATTGAAAGACCACGAGATATTTAGAGACTTAGCCAGTAGCTGGGTCACGGAGGAGTCAAATTCCAGTCTGTTGTCTGTCTGGATGGAAGCAGGCAGGCCAAAACGGGGAATTATTTCCTGTAAGAGATGCTGAGACACAGAGGAGGCTTTCTTGGTGGTGGTGGGAAATGCCTCTATCTATCCCATAAAGGTGTGCACCAGCACCAGCAGGTATCTGAAGGTTGGCATATGGGTGAAATCAATTTGTCAGTCTACTCCCGGAAGATGGCTGCACATTGGTATTTGGATTTGCCCTTTGGCATACTTCTCAGGTTTGTGACAGATGCATGAGGAATTGCGTGAGGGCCAGGGTTAGGGGAAGGCTGTTTTAGCAACTCCCTTAAGGCCCCTATCTGGGGGTGGAAAAGATGGTGAAGGTATTTAAGGTTGTCTTGCCTAGAGGGAGGAGCAGGATCCTCTATTATTGGCAGTGTTACTGCCCATTGTTTTGATGCTATAGCAGCTCGCTTGGCAGTTTCATCGGCCAGGTTGTTCCCCTTGGTTATTACTGAGCCATCTGACCTGTGGCTCCTGCAATGAACTATGCCAGTAGCTGAGGGGAGGAAAGAGGCCTTTAAAAGGTCAGTAATATAGGACCCATTTATTACTGAGGTTCCTTTCATTGTTAATAAGCCTGGTTCCTTTCAAATAGATGCATGAGAAAGGACAGTATGGAAAGCAAATTTAGAGTCTGTGTATACTGTCAGGGAATGTCCTGAGGCCAGGTGGAAGACCCATGTTAGGGCTACCAATTCGGCCTGTTGATTGGTAGTGTGGAGAGGCAAAGGGCCAGACTCCACTACACCAGAGACTGACATAACAGCATGCATACCCAGCTACACTTGAGCCTTCCCAAAGGAAGGAGCTACGATCAGTGAACCAGGTGAAACGTGAGTCCTTTAATGGCCCCTCACTAATATGGTCTGGGTGAGGTAGCAGGTCCTTTAGAGTCTCCACACAGGAGTGTGCTGGTGAGATCCTTGTTAGTGTGGGGTCCTCTACCAGCGACACCTGAAGGGAGAGAATACGGGAGGGAGACATAGTTTGCAATCCCTTATAGGTTAGTAACTCAGAGAGGTGATGGTGGGAGAGGATGGTAAGGTTTGCACCAAAGGTTAGTTTTTTCAATTCCTGTAACAGGACAGAAGAGGCAGCTAGAACGTGAAGACAAGGAGCTTAGCCCCTAGTGCTGGGCGTTTCGACAAGTAAGCAACCAGAGCAAATGAAGATCTAGTCTGTTGACCTAAAACTCCCAACGCAAAACCCTGGTTTTCAGTTACATACAGAAAGAACGGGTGTGAAAGATCTGGCAGCCTGAGAGCCGGGGCCTGTAATAAGGCCCATTGGAGTCTCCTAAAGGGAGGAACAAGAGAGGAGGGAGATAAAAGGGGTTCTTCTGGTTGCCCTTTAGCTGCTTCATATAGGGGTCGTGTTAGAAGAGAGTAGTTAGGAATCCAAGACCTGAGATAGCCAGCTAGACCCAGGAAGGAGAGAAGCTCCGACTTAATGGAGGGGGTAAGGGTAGTTAGTAATCAATTGTTTCCTGGGGATAGTGATCGCCTTGTGTGTGGGAGTGAGTTGAACACCCAGGTAAGTCACAGACTATTGAACGACCTGTATCTTATTGGGTGAGACTCAATATCCCCAGGAGGCCAGAAAGTTAAGAAGTGTGTATGCTTGTAACACAATTGCTTGGTGGGACTGCAGGGGAGAATATCATCCACATATTGGATAAGGGAGGATGGTTCTATATTTAGGTCTCTTAAGTCCCTTGCTAAAGCTTGGCCAAACAGCTGGGGACTATCCTGGAACCCCTGAGGCAGCACAGTCCAGGTGAGCTGAGCTGAGGTTTGGGTGACCGGGTCAGTCCACGTAAAGGCAAAAAGGTCCTGGGAGGAGGGGACTAAAGGGATAGTGAAAAAAGCATCTTTTAATCCAATACTGAATAAAAAGCAACCATCGCTGGGATTGTGGAAAGCGGCATATAGGGGTGGGGCACAACAGAGTGTGGGAGATAACAGCAGAATTTATAAGGCTAAGGTCCTGTACCAAGCAGAACGAACCGTTAGTTTTGGCTACTGATAAGATGGAGGTATTATAGGAAGAATTGGTGGGGTGTAACAGCCCTTTTCTTAGTAAGTCCTTTATAATTAGTGGCACTCCCAGAAGACTGTGGTGAGGGAGAGGGTACTGGGGTTGTGAAGGGAAGCATTGGGGGCCCCTCAGAAATATATGAATAGGAGGGTGGCATTTAGCAATAGAGGGGTTGTAGGTATCCCACACCTTGGGGTCCACCTCAGAGGATGGAAAAAGGAAATCTGAGGGGTCCCTAGGTAAGCCTACTAAAGCCATCAAGGAGATTGCGGGGGAGGCCGAATCAATATCACGTTGTGCCAATTGGGAAGGGCATAGGGAAATAGAGGCTCCAAATTTGGCCAAAAGATCTCTGCCCAGCAGTGGAACTGGGCAGTGGGGAATAACGAGGAAGGAGTGACAGAAGGTCACTCCTGAAAAAAGACAAATGACGGGTTTTTTGGGGGGATTTGTAAGGTTTTCCCTCCACCCCAACTATGGAGGGTAGGTAGGCTAGGTAGGTCTGGCCATGGAACTCAGCACCAAATACATAGCACCTGTGTCTACCAAAAATGAGGTCATCCTATCTGCAACCATGATTGTTACCCTGGGTTCCTGCTTGGTGATAGGAGTGGTTGGGACCAGGAGTCCAGGGCCGCCTCAGTCTTCTCCAGCTGCCAGTCCCAGAGTGCCAGGAGGGGGCGATGGGGCCTTAGTGGATAGCCGCCATCCCCAAGAGGACAATGGACAGTCCATGGCCCAATGCCCTGAAACTTTGCACCTGGGCCATGGTTGGATTGGCTCATGTGGCTGTGGGCAGGCTGGGCCCCTATGGCCTGGCTGGCCACATCGGTAGCAGAGCTTCTTTAGGGGGCAGGTTTCCATCCAGTGCCCCTTTCAACCGCAGACATAGCAGGGCTCAGGTGGACCCCGCTGGGGAGGGGTTGGTTGCAAGGCTGGAGGCTGGTAGAGTTTGGCTAGCATCTGGTACTTCAGCTGTTTGGCCTTTAAGGCTTAAAGGCTGCCTCCATAGCCTCACTAGCGGGTGTTAGGGGGCCCCTGTCTAATTTTTTTAATTTATCCTGATGTCTGGAGTGGATTGACTAATAAAATGAGTCATTAAACAGCGTTGTCCGTCCACAGACTCAGGGTCTAGGTTAGTATATTAAAGGAAGGTCTGACACAATCTGGCCCAAAGGGCAGATGGGTTTTCATTTTTGTCTTGTATGACCGTGGCCATTTTGTCATAGTTGATGGCTTTGCAGACTGCCTGTTTGAGACCCTCCATTACACAGGCAATAGGGAATTGTAATCCTAGTGAGGCTCCTAGTCAGGCACTGCCTCAGTCCAAATTGGGTGATCGGGGTGGTCCAGTGGGTCTCATCTGCATAGCGGCGGGCCTTTTCCCAAACATCCCACTGTTCCCCTGGTAAACGGGTATTACTCAAGATTATGCATACATCACGCCCAGTTACCTCATATGATGGGAATACATGCCTCAGCTCCTTGATGTAGGTGGTGGGATTGGTGGAGAAAGATCTCAGGTGCATCTGTGTGAGGTCATTTAATGAGAACAGAATGTGCACTGTACTATACCATCAGCCCCTGCCACCTCATGTGATGGGAGAACATGGGCTGAGGTAGAACTCTGATCAGTAGCAGGCTCTTGGGCCTGAATAAAGATGGTACTCAATGTTTCTGTAAGGTGCGCAACAACCTACAGGGCATCTTTCAGTTGAGACAGCTGGTTCACAGTGGTCAGGCCAGATGTGCTTTTGTCCTGTGGGGGAAAAAGGGGGTGCCTATGGAAGGGGGCCTTGGCCTTGGATGGTGCAGGAGCAGAGGGTGGGGGAACCCGTGACAGGCGGGTTGGGGGCTGCCAGACCAATGGTGGGGGACAGGGCTGCCACCTCTGACGGAAACCCTACCTCTGAAAGTCCCGCCTCCTTGGCAGAAGTCCCAACCCCGTTGGAGGAAGTCCTATCTCCTCTGGCACACCTGGAGGGGCTGTTTCCCCACATGTTCGAAATGGCAGCAACTCATCCACCAGATCTGGAATAGTCTGGGTTATAAGTCGGTAGCCTTGAGGCCAGGAGGAGTTGGGCAGGAGAACGTAAGGACTCAGGAAGAAGTTTAGTTTGGAGGAAGGAGAGGAACAAAGAGAAGGCATCTATGTAGCTAGCTTCCTTTAACTTGCCTGACCACCTGCAGAAGTTAGATAGATTCTGTATAATATCAGAATCAAGTGTCCCATGAATGGGCCATGTGGGCTGATTGTCCAGTGGATATTTGGGCCAGATCTCAGTACAGAAATGTATGAGCTCCTGTGAATCAATGTCAGGTTCAATGTTAAGCATTTCTAGATTATTTAGGAGAAAACCCAAGGGGGAGACCTGAGGAAGGTCAGGAATATTATATTGTGTCCTACCCATTGGAACCAAAAGCTGTTGTAAAGCATCCTATGCAATGTAATTTGTCCTAAAAGTGGGAAACAACCAATGGGAAATGTTGTCACATTTCTCCACACCATCCCTCAGCCACAGAGGCCCTCAGAAATGTGGCTTAGATACTTGGCCAAGTTTTTCAGGGGTGAGAGCCCTGAAGCTCCCTGAGAGAGGCATAGAGCTTGCACCGTGAAATCTAAGCCTCTAGATTTGATTTACATGGTGGGTAGGACGTGATCAGCTGCTGGCAGATGTGTAGGAGGTGTTTGGTCAGAAGGAAACCAGCTTGGCGGGCTTTTGGGTCTGCCTAGAATTGTGGGTTAGGTCCCGGGGTAGCTGGCAGGGCCCTCCCAGTCAGTGGGGAGAGTGAATCCACCAGGGAGCCTATCAGCATACAGGCCACCAAAATGAAGGAGAAAATGTAAACCTGGGTAGGAAGTAACCCAAAGAAAGTAACCCAAAAGACCATGTGGACAGAAGTTAAGTAGTAGAAAAGATTTATTGCCAGCAGAGCTGATAAGGCCAAGTTCTCATGAGGAAAGGGAGAAAATGATGCCGTCTGGCTCTTTGGAGGCCCCTTTTATATTGGAGGCCAGACGTGGGAGGTGCCTCACCTACTGCTCAGGTACTGCCATCAAGGGCAGAGATTAGGCCTGCATAGTGGGCATATAGCTCCACTTTTGGCTTTTTGTAGTTAATTGTAGGTAAGAGTCTTTCAAACTTTCCTGCCCTGGCTAGCTTCATACATTGATCCTCAAATCAAAGCCTCCTGAGTAACTAGGATTACAATCATGAACCAATAGCACCCAGTGAGATTCTTAATTTTGAAGAACTTTTTTTTTTTTGGAAGGTCATGGGGCTTGAACTCTGGGCCTAGGCGCTGTCCCTCAGCTCTTCAGCTCAAGGCTACTACTTGAGCCACAGCACCACTTTTGGCTTACTGGTGGTTAATTGGAGATAAGAGTCTCACGGACTTTCCTGCCCAGGCTGGCTTTGAACCATGATCCTCAGATCTCAGCCTCCTGAACTAGGTAGGATTATAGGTGTGAGCCACTGGGCACTCATCCAGCTCTTTTTCCTTATCTTTAAAATTTAATTAACCTAAGCCAGGCGCTTGTGGCTCACACCTGTAATCCTAGCTACTCAGGAGGCTGAGATCTGAGGATCGCGGTTCAAAGCCAGCCCGGGCAGGAGAGACAATGAGACTCCTATCTCCAATAAACCACCAGAAAACCGGAAGTGGCGCTGTAGCTCAAGTGGTAGAGCGCTCGCCTTGAGCTGAAGAGCTGAGGGACAGTGCTCAGGCCCAGAGTTCAAGCCCCACGACCAACAACAACAACAAAAAAAATTAATTAACCTAGTTTCTGTAGTAGGTCAGTGACATGGACAAAGAAGAGACTGATAATGGGAGTACTACTCTAGATTGAGACTTAAATGGCTCAACCAAATAGAGTCTTAGAGTTTCGGATTCTGATTTTAACCAATAATGATAATGGTATTGAGCTTCTGTAATAAAATGCCCACAAATTTTAGAGAAGTGTGCTAAAATATGTATATCAAAATGTTTGATTCTTGCTTTAAGGAACAATAGACATAAAAAATTTGGTAACTATTGAATCTTAGAGCAGTGTATATGGTATTCATTGTCCTATTTTTCGTTTTTTCTATAACAAAATTATTTTGAAAAGTAGTCTGTATTTTGCGTTATTTACAAGGAAAGACCCAGTCTTAAGTGATCACATAATTATTATATATTCAGAGTAAAATAATCATTAAGACTTGACTTGAAAAAACAAAAAAACTATCCAGGCAACAGTGGCTAACTACTAAGGAGACTGAGATCTGAGGATCTTGGTTCAAAGCCAGCCTAGACAGGAAAGCCCATGAGACTCTCATCTCCTATTAACCACCAGAAAACTGGAAGTGGGGCTATGGCTCAAAGTGGTAGAGCACTAGCGAGCTGAAGAGCTTAGGGACAGCACCCAGGTCCAGAGCTAAAGCCCTAGGACTGACCAAGGAGGAGGAGGAGGATACATATCTATCATAAAAACATGTCTTTTACTTTTCTGATGCTCTGCTTTTTCTACTACTAACTCCCTTCTCAAAAACATTTGTATGGGGGCTGGGAAGGTGGCTCAGTGGTAGAGCGCTTGCCTTGCATGCTCAAGGCCCTGGGTTCGATTCCTCAGCACCACATAAGCAAAAAGAAAAAAGCTGGAAGTGGCGCTGTGGCTCAAGTGGTAGAGCGCTAGCCTTGAGCTGAAGACCTGAGGTTCAGTGCCCAGGCCCAGAGTTCAGGCCCCACGACCGGACCCAAAAAAAAAAATTTGTATGGTTTGTGCTTTCTTTATGTCATCTTTATTTTCCAGTACATGTAAGACTTTTTCTTAGCCTTCTGATAACTCTTGAGTACTTTTATTATTCAATAACTTTTGATAGGTTTATGTTATTCTGATTTTTATATTACTATTATAGTAAAATTTGTAGTAAAAAAAGAAAATCTGTTATTTGAAGGTGAAAGTTTTTTAATTTATGTACTGTTGCATTATATAATGTTTGCAATTGTGTGTGTGTGAGTGTGTGTGTGTGTTTTGTGCCAGTCCTGGGGCTTGAACTTTGTGTACGGGTATTGTCTCTGAAGTTTTTTGCTTCAGGCTATCATTCTACCACTTGAGCCACAGCTCTGGCATTTTGGTTTTTAATTGAAGATACAAATCTCATAGACTTTTCTGCACACACTGGCTTCCAGCCATGATCTTCAGATCTCAGCCTCCTGAGTAGCTAGGATTTCAAACATGAGCTACCTGCATCCAGCTTCAATGATATCTTTAAATGATATTTTCTTTAACAAAAATAATACTGGTTCTTGGTGACTCCCCTCTAATATGTGAATAATATAATAGTATGGTGTGTTGTACATGGCTAGGGAAAACATATTTGGACATATAAGCTTGTTCAGGGATCATTTGAAATAAATAATTGAAATAAATGTTCATCTCTTTGGGGCGGGGCTTCTTTTTAGAATCAAGATTTGTTTGCTACATCACAAAATAAAGAATTTGATCCGCTTGGTCCTTTGCCACCTGGGTGGGGTAAGTCACATTTTTTTTTTTGTTGTTTTCCACTAAATTCTATTTTTTTTTTTTTAATTAAGGGCTGGGGATATTGAGTATTTGCTTAGATGACATACAATCTAAGCATGATTCCCAGCACCACAAGAAAGAAAAGTATTTGTGGATGATATTTTACTTTTGTTTAAATGAATACCTAGTAAGTTTTTCAGATCCATGAGTCAAATGAAAGCATGAAGTAGGCAAAACTCTGAAAATTCCAACTTGGACTCTTCATTAAAATAGTTTTATAGGAATTTAGTGTCATTTTCCTCTTCTAAAGTTTTTTTGGTTTTTTGTTTGTTTTGCTTTTTCAGTTATTGGGCTTGAACTCTGAGCTGGGCGCTGTCCCTGAGCTCTTCAGCTCAAGGTGAGCACTCTACCACTTGAGCCACAGCGCCACTTTCGGTTTTCTGGTGGTTTATTGGAGATAAGAGTCTCACAGACTTTCCTGCCCGGGCTGGCTTTGAACTATGAACTTCAGATCTCAGCCTCCTGAGTAGCTAGGATTACAGGCGTGAGCCACTGGCGCCCATCTCCTCTTCTCACATTTAAAAATGATCATTCTGCAATAAAAGGGGAACATTCAGGATTGACCTCCAAGGGCATTCATTATACTCATGGAGAAAGTTTATCTCACGCAGTTATATACCTTTTTTAGTCAGTCTCTCTCTTGAAGATTCATCACTTCCCAACAATGTCATACTGAGAACCAAGCTTTCAATACAAAAATTCGTTCAAGTTCATACTCAAACTATATTGATATTATAGGATTCAATTTACATGCCATCCTCAAAATGACAAAACTACAGATGAAAAACAGAGGGGCTGGGAAGGTGGCTCAGTGGTAGAGCCTTGCATGCACGAGGCCCTGGGTTCTATTCCTCAGTACCACATAAGCAAAAAGAAAAAAATAGCTGGAAGTGGCGCTGTGGCTCACGTGGTAGAGTGCTAGCCTTGAGCTGAAGAGCTGAGGGACAGTGCCCAGACCCAGAGTTCAGGCCCCACGACCAGATTCCCCCCCCAAAAAAAGAAAAACAGATAGGTGACTATAAGGGTACAGAATAGGTAAGAGTTTGGTACATTAAGAGGTTATATTAGGAGTTATGTGATAATGGAAAAATTCTACATATTGATTTTGGTGGTGATTACATTTATATATATGATACAATGCATTAAAGTAAACTTTTAAAACTGGTAACATTTTTAACATTGTTGGGCACCTGGGTCTTATGCCTATAATTGTAGCTACTGAGGAGGCTGACATCTGACTGTTTTAAACCAATCTGGACTGGAAAGTCACGAAGCTTATCTCCTCCAATTAACCACCAACGAACTGGTAGAATGCTAGTCTTGCACACGAAAGAAGTTCAGGGATAGCACCTAGGCAGGACCAGTACACACACACACACACACACACACACACACACACACACACACACACACACACACACACACACACACACACACACACACACACACACACACACACACACACACACACACACACACACGAACATTGAAGAGGGGATAGCACCTAGGCAGGACCAGTACACACACACACACACACACGAACATTGAAGAGGGGATAGCACCTAGGCAGGACCAGTACACATACACACACACACACACACACACACACACACACACACACACGAACATTGAAGAGGTTCAGGGATAGCACCTAGGCAGGACCAGTACAACACACACACGAACATTGAAGAGTCTGTAGCTAATTTAACAGTAATGTACTAATGTCAAGAATCTTGGGTTGGGCATGTGGCTTAGTGGTAGAGTGCTTGCCTAGCATGCATGAAACACTGGGTTTAATTCCTCAGTACCACATAAACAGACAAAGCCAGAAGTAGGGCTGTGGCTCAAGTGGTAGAGCAATAGCCTTGGACAAAAGAAGCTCAGGGATGGTGCCAGGCCCTGAGTTCAAGCCCCAAGACTGGCAAAGAAAAACCAAATGCTAGGCACTGGTGTCTCATGCCTGTAATCCTAGCTACTCAGGAGGCTGAGAATCATGGTTCAAAGCCAGCCCAGAAAGGAAAGCCCTTGAAATTCATCTCCAATTTACCACCAGAAAAAAAAAAAATGGAAGTGGCGCTGTGGCTCAAGTGGTAGATTACTAGTCTTGAGCTGAAGAGCTTAGGGACAGTGCCAGGCCCATAGTTCAAGCCCCACGACAGACCAAAAAAAAAAAACAAAAACCTCTTACTAAAGTCATAGTCATGTAACAAGATTCCAGAATAAAGATGGCAATATTAAAATAATTTTGAATGTAAACCAAAAAGGAAAAATAATAGAGTGAAAACAGGGAACCAAGTAGAATCTTATCCGTTAAAGCTTCAGATACTTTATAATATTGTGGTTAATTTAGAAAGTGGTATTCTTTATAGATAGTCTGATTGGGAAACATTGATTCCAAGATATAGCAAAACTGCCAAGTAACAAATAAATATAATGATGTGTCAAGATCATATAAATCTAAGCAGAGATACTGTTTCACAATCCTATGAGAAATCCCTATGTTCTTTCATTGAAGTTACTTATCTTCAAAACACTGATATGAATCAAAAAAGTAAAACAAATGTACCATCTTATTTAAAACTGTTATTGTTACTAAATTCTAACAAAGAACACTTTTCTAAGTTGTTTCTGTTTTCAAAAACTCAGTGTGAAGGTAAAGATTTCTGGCTCTGTTAAAGCCTCAGAGTGGTTTATATGTGGTTGATATGAGGAACTTCAGAACAGATGTTACCTTTAGAAACCTGACCTGTCAGATTGTATTTCTAGATACAGATAGCTTGCCAAGCTTTATTTCTAAGGTTTTTTGTTTTGTTTTGTTTTCCCCTGTTTTTAGGGTTTGAACTCAGGGCACTGTTCCTGAGCCTCTTTTATGTTCACAGCTAGTTAGTATTCTACCACTTGAGTCATAGCACCACTTCCAGTTTTCGTTTTTGTTTTTTTTTTTGTTGGTCCTGGGGCTTGAACTCTGGGCTTGGGCGCTGTCCCTGCGCTCTTCAGCTCAAGGCAAGTGCTCTACCGCTTGAGCCATAGCGCCACTTCCAGTTTTCTAGTGGTTTATTGGAGATAAGAGTCTCAAGGACTTGCTTCCTGGGCTGGGCTGGCTTTGAACTGTGATCCTCAGATCTCAGCCTCCTGAGTAGCTAGGATTACAGGTGTGAGCCACCGGCGCCTGGCTCGTTTTTTCTTTTAATAGTTTATTGGAGATAATTCTGCCTTGGCTGGCTTCAAACCATGGTCCTCAGATCTCAGCCTCCTGAGTAGCTAGGATCACAGGCATGATCCATCATTTAGAAATGTCCAGCATTTCTAAAGTTTCTGTTGTTGTTTTGGGGATTGTGTATGTGTTTGTGTGCTGGTAGTAGTCCTTGAACTAAGGGCCTCTTGCTCTCCATTGCTGGCACTCTACTTCTTGAGCCATAACTCTACTTCTGGCTTTTTGGTGATTTCAGATAAGTCTCATTGACTTTCCTTTCCAGGCTGGCTTCACTAAGGCAATCTTCAGATCTTAGCCTCTTGAACAGTCAGGATTATAGGTTTGAACCAACATAGCTCTAAAGTTGATTTATGTCTCTATTACAAAATGAGAAATTGTTATGTTAAAAGGATATATCTGAGGTGGGGGTGTGTTTGTGTGTATCCCAAATTTAGTGCAGAAAAAACTAACTTTATGGTGATAGAAACAGATTACTCCTCTGGAACAGATGTAGAGGAAAAAAATCACCTGTTTCTTCCAAAAGTTAAATTGTGTGCTATGTTGCCTTTATAGAAAAGCTTTCCTACAAGTTGGACCTTGCCTGTATATTTATCACTATCCTCATTATTCAGATCTTTTTGAGTTTTGCTTTAGACAACAGCTTCTTTTTTTTTTTTTTGGTCATGGTGCTTGAACTCTGGGCCTGGGTGCTGTCTCTCAGCTCTTCAGCTTAAGGCAAGCTCTCTGCCAATTGAGCCACAGTGCCACTTCGGTTTTCTGGTGGTTTATTGAAGATAGAGTCTCAAGGATTTTCCTGCCTGGGCTGGCTTTGAACATCTCAGCCTCCTAAGTAGCTAGGATTACAGGCGTGAGCCACCAGCGCTTTTTAAAAACAATTATAATAACAATTGTTATTTTAAAGGTGATGTATAGGGGTTATAGTTACTAAGTCAGGTAGAGTACATTTCATTTTGTCACCCCTTCCCTTGCTCTCTCGTAGTTATTCCCTCCCATCCCCATCCACAAAGTTGTACAGTTCATTTTCAACATAGTGTCTAGTGAGTTCCATTGCGAACAATTACTGTAATTATAGAGGTGATGTACAGAGTGATTACAATTACATGAGTCAGATAATGAATACATTTTCTTTCATAGTGTTTTCCGTTCCCTCATCCTCTCCCAGTCCCTCCCTGTCATCTCCACCCACAAGTTGATTAGTTCCTTTCATCAGTGTCCAGTGAGCTCCACTGCTGCATTTTTTCACCCTTTTTCTCTCGTCTTCTTCCCTCCCCCTAACCCTTCTGAAGATGTACACTTGAATACACCATACATAAGGTAAAGAACACGGAATCATCAAAGACTAAAAACTGGAAAAAAGAAATAAAGAAGAAAAAAGTTTCCATATCTTAGAGTTTGTTTCAGTATGTGTATTATTTTATACAAATATGAGGAGGCACATAGGCATTGCACTTTTGTGTTTCTCTCCTAAGTGAATATTTACTCTTTTGGTCTCACTGTGTGTGAGTCTCTAGAGTCATATAATTTGTCATATCCTTGTGTTAGATCTGGGATATATGCCTTATTTGTAGAACAACACTGGTACTGTATCAGATGAGGAAATCCTATCAAATTAACCTTTTATATTGTCCCAAGAGATAGAATCCCAGCTTATAGTCTATGTTTTCATTCTGAGATTGACAGTGTTGTTTTTGTTACAGCATATATACTTAAATCCGACTTTGTTTCCCTCTCAGAA